CGCCACCTGTAGCGTCCACACGATATAGCCTACTAGCCAGGACTCCTTTTTTATGTATGCAGATAAGTAGTGATGTAATGATGCAAAGATGAACGGCGGCAAACTTTGAAACCAACCTAAACCACTCAAATTAGAAAGCATTATTACAAGGTTACCGTTGTGATACGGGCTAAGGTAAAGAGATCGTTTTGAAGACTGATTGATTGTGTACTTTCTCAATAATTGATTTTGGATCATTTTTAACCAAAAAAGTTACGGAATGCAGCTTTAATAAACCTTCTCTGCAATTGGATCCACCTCATTTTATACTTTCGCTTGCCCTAGCATTACACATGCATTGTGAGAAGAACAGCAATCCAATGACTTTGAAAATCATGCAGTGTGTCCCCACACTGTCATTTTACAATTTTTTTTTTCTCCTGTGTATATAGACAATTTCGCGTAGGTATTTTTTTTGTCACATGGTCTTTTTCCTCCCTTTTTAAAAGACTGTAGGGATTAACATTTTCTTGTGTCCCAGTATAAAAATATAAAGATTAAAATTTAAAGATGTGTCTCCCATTTTAAAGGGGTCATATGATGCGATTTCAAGTTTTCCTTTCTCTTTGGAGTGTTACAAGCTGATTGTGCATAGATAAGATCCCTGAAGTTGCAAAGACTAAAGTCTCAAAACCAAAGATATATTCTTTATCAAAGTTAAGACTCTGCCACGCCCCCCTAAAACGGCTCGTGCTAACACGCCACCACATATCTACCTCACTATGTGGAAATATTAGCGTAATGCCACCCAAATGTGCACGCAAAGAAAGAAGGTGTGGTTTCAGTAACCGCAGTTAGTGTTGAAGCAGCCATGTCAGGGAGACTCTGTGTGTTTCAAACGAAGCGTTTGAGAGAGGCGGAGCATAGAGGACCTACAATAATGTACAGTATTTGAAAAATAATGTGTTTTTTGAACATTAAAGCATGTCAACATATTCTGTTACACCAAATACACAAAATAATGATCTTTAAAAAAGCATCATATGACCCCTTTAAGATCTATTGTCCCTTCCTCTTTTTCCAGATATGCCTGATTTTTTTCCACATACAGATCATTTCATTGTTCTTTAAGATTGCCATCTACAGCATGCATCTTCATTGATTGACACATCTTCACAAAATGATAGAATGTTTTCTATTCCACATCTTTTACAATTAAACTTATTTGCTTTCATTTCTGTATGTCTGTTTATACTTCATTGCATCTACATTCACTCTCATTATGCATTTTATGCATTTGGGCTTTAGTCATTTCTAATATAATGCAAATTTGTACAGGGTCATTTTGTGTTGACTCAACCAAATTTCAGAAACGTCCCTGGCTCAAATTTTGATTTTGTCAGTATTTTTATTTGTATTATTTTTTTGGAAGAAAGATAAACATGTATAGTCATGAAAGCCAAAATATTAAATGTTATAGATTTGTGCTACCTGAGTAATCCACTATTTTGTCAAAATGTCAAGTTTTACCTGAGATTCAGAGCTAAATCACAGGGGGGTACAAATTACTTCAGAAAGATTGCAGAATCTGCTGACTTTAGCCATCTTTGTTGCATTAACTGCTAATGGTGACCAGTAAAAAAATGGGGGAAAGCACTTATCACATTTTTTTATCCAAAGTTAGCATTTTTATTTGGACCCCCTCTACAAAATAGTGGATTACTCAGTAAATATACATTAATGGCATTTAATATTTTGGCTTTCTTCTTCATGTATGTATTTATTTCCAGAAAAAAAAAAAAAAATCAAAAATGTGAACTGGGGACCGTTGGTTGAGTTGACACAGAATGACCCTATAGTCTTTTCAAGAGAACCATCACCACCTCTTAGAAGCCTCTCTCTTACTGCATTTAATTTATCCCTGCAAACAAGTTTGTCTTGAATCAGAGATTCCTAAAATTCTCCAAATTCACATGACTGCTTTTCATTTCAGTCTCATTACATAACGAGATACTGACATTTCTCTTTATATACACAAAATAAAATAAATAAATAATGCATCTTTTATGTCATATTCTTCTTCGGATTACAATACATTTCAAATTTCTCCATGATCTTCTGCAGATTTTCATTTTTGTTTTCAAATGTGATGGTATTATTACCTTCTCCAACAACAACATGAAGAAAAGGGACGGCTGTATCTTAGAGACTTGATAGTGTATTCTGTTGCAACTGAATACAATCCAAAACACTGTCAAAACATTCTCCAGTTTTCAGATAAATTGCCTAAATCACATCCTGCTGGAGGTTTCAATCCATCCATTTCTCAATTACTTCTTCACCTCTGATGTCATGTTATGTGTTACAAGCCAATCACAGCTTTACAGTGTTAATCAGGAAAATAATGTTCCAGTGATGCAAACAAAATATAATTCTGCTTTGAAGCAGCCCTACAGAGAACAATAGAAAATAGTCAATTTTTCAGTTACTTTCAGTTAATTCATTGTTGATTTAGTGATGTCATCATCCAGCTCAGTTCAGTTTTCATCCAATAGTGTCTTGCAATCAAGTTGATAATCTTGCCAAATATTAAGTGTGTCCCCATATATGCAAACCAAAAGGCACTGTGGCAAGGAACCCAAAGTCCATCTGTGACAGAAATAGAGGAAAAAGAATCTAGGCTCAGTTGGGGGGCCAGTTCTCCTCTGGACAGGTGAACCAACATGGTGGGGTTTAGTTCCAGGCTGCAACACAAGTCAGATTGTGGACTGGTATTATTTATTTGCAAGACTGTATCATCACTTACACACAAGTGGCAGATTAAACTCATAACATACGTGTATTCTATTGGCACTGTTTTTTTTGGACAGGCCCCTTATAATAAACTTTGACTCATAATGTGGTTTTCTCTTTTTTTCTATGTTTCCACTTGCTTTATAATTGTGGTTATCAGTACATTTTAAGATAAAAGTTGATTTTGGTTCAAGTAAATTGGTATAGTAACGTAAGTTGTAAAATCTACAGGCATCATTATGCCAATACCTTAAACATTGTCACCATTTTTTTTTATTTAGCATAATATTTTTACAGTATATGTTGATAATTCATACAGTACATTACTGTTTTGCATATTCTTGGACTCTGTCATAAAATCAGCTTTGAACGTGTTTCAGGATAATTTATATAGGCACATTTGTATTTATGGGGATTTATTACATTCCAAAGTTTGCAATTTCATATTTAACAGCTAGTGGATTTATAAGCCACCCAAACCATTATTCCAGTAATACTCCCAACAATTATTCTAGACATTCAATATGACTATTCAAACGTATCCATTATGCCAACGACAATACCTGTGCAAACTCCAAGGTTTTGATTTAACTGCTCTTAGACAAATCCAAAGCGTTCTGTGTTGTGCTCTCTCTTATCTTTCTTATCTTTTTAATGTTGTTAACAATGCATTTCTACACAACCATAATCAAAACTGATCTTATCATTGCTTGGTCATCAGCAAATGAATCACTGAGTCCCCACTCTCTTGCAGCACACACAAACATATATAGAAATATATGATATACTGTATATAGTTTTTAAAAGAATTCTCTTCTGTTCACCAAGCCTGCATTTATTTGATCCAAAGTACAGCAAAAACAGTAAAATTGTAAAATATTTTTACTATTTAAAATAACTGTTTTCTATTTGAATATTTGAAAATGTAATTTATTCCTGTGATTTCAAAGCTGAATTTTTTTGCATCATTACTCCAGTCACATGATCATTGAAATCATTGTAATATTCTGATTTGCTGCTCATAAAACATTATTATTATTATTATTATTATTATTATTATTATGTTGAAAACAGCTGAGTAGATTTTTTCAGGTTTCTTTGATGAACAGAAAGTTCAGAAGAACAGCATTTATCTGAAACAGAAATCTTTTGTAACATTATAAATGTCTT